AGCTCCAGTGTTGTGTTGACGGCGGCTGCAAACACGCGTGCGCCCTCGTCCTCAAGCCACTGTGCAAGTGTGCGCGCAGCAGGTGCAGACTCCCTGTGATGGTGATGGGAAGCGTGGAACTGTGAAGGAAGAACGGAACGGATTGAAAGAGTTAGGAACGCAAGCAAGCCTCGGATTCACACACACACACACACACACACACACACACACACACACACACACACACACACACACACACACACACACACACACACACACACACACACACACACACACACACACACACACACACACACACACACACACACACACACACAACCTTGCGGAGAGGATGGCGTGTTGCGTGTGGAGATGATCGAGTTGACCGTCAAGGACGCGGCGGTACAAATCAGCAATCTTGGCGCCAGCTGGGCCTGGTGGTCGCAGCAGCAACATTGTGTGTGTGTGTGTGTGTATGTGTATGTGTGTGTGTGTGTGTGTGTGTGTGTGTGTGTGTGTGTGTGTGTGTGTGAACGAGGGTACACGACACGCGTTATCAACCAAACGAAGCAGAGGGCACGCCATGGGGGATCAAGGGAGATATGACGACGGCACCAACCTGGAAGCTGCCGCTCAATGGTGTCCGGTGACACGACGTGATATTGGCATGCGATGGCGACGTCGCTGTGGCTGAAGCGGCGCTGCACGATGCTTTCGACACTCGCACAGTACTCAGCACCCGTGATCACATCACCAACGACACGAACAAAGTGTCGCTGCCTTGCGCGTGAGGAGGGGAGTGAGGACACAAAGCTCTCCCGTTGGTCGATGCCGCTGTCCCTGCCACCACTGCCACCACCGCTGTCATCGCCGCCGCCACTGTTCTCAGCGAAGCGGGGCCTCCATGTGGGCCCCTTCAGCCACTGCCACAGCTGTGCCAGGCGCAACGTGAGTGGCGACGACTGCGTGTGGCGAAGCGTGTCCGTGATGGAGCGGGCAGCGAAGAGGCCGACGTCGCTCGCAGCGTGCATGGGGATGCGCTGGTCTTTCGGAAAGGGCGAATACAGCCCAATCTCCACCACAGCCACCTCCTGCTGCTGCTGTTGCTGCTGTCGTTGATTCTGGCAACTGCTGCCACCGCTGTTGCCACTGCTCTTCTTGCTGCCGCTGTCATTGCCCGCTACCCCGTCGTGATCATGGTTGATCCCGCCATCACCTCCACCACCAGCACCTCCTCCTCCTCCTCCGAGACCAGCACCCACAATATCCACGCTGAAGCGCTGCTGTCCGCCCTTGGTCACGAGGTTCTCGAAGAAGAACCCGCTCCGTATGGAGAGCACAGACTCAAACGCGAGGCTGTTGGCGTACTGCTCCAGGTCCGCCTTACTGTCCAGCCAGCGCACGCCCGTCCTGTCACCGCTGCTCCACACAATGTGGGGCACGTGAGCTGCGTGTGCGGCGTCCAGCAAGGCCCTGCCCGTTCGTCGCTCCCCTTCATCGTCGTGGAAGTCCGTGAATGTGACGAGAAAGGCGGCAGCGCACCCTTGCAGCGCGGCGCTCAGCGTGGTGGCACTCTCCAAGCTCCCTTCAATCACGTGCACGCCCAAGGTGCTTGACAGCTCTCGCGCTCGCGCACTCGATGCGTTCCTGGACACTGTGCGCAGCTCACGGAAGCCAAGGCCGTGTAGCTCCTCCAGCGCCGCCCTGCCTGCAATTGCACGCGTGTGGTTGTGTTGGAAGGGGGGGGGGAGAAGGGGCATACACGTTTGGATGGGGGGAGCGCGTGCACATGCGTGCGCTTGAGCGAGTTGTGTTTGAGAGAGTGCGGATGGCCCCCAAGTGGGCCCTTTGCTTGTTTCCGTCTCCATCTTCACCAATCACAAGCAGCCATACAAGCCACATCAGCACACCACAACACATGGCCACACCACAACACACATGACCACCACCACAAGTCACATGAGCTTGCCTTGAATGCCGGTTCCTCCAATGACGAGGATGGGCTTTATGGAGAGCGGCGGCTGGGATGAGGCAACGGCCAAGGCGAGGACCACAGCACCCAGCACCACGGCAGGCGGGACCATCACGGTGTGATGTGTCGAAACAACAACACGCGATACGCGCTCAGCGGGCATCAGGCAGGCGATGTGCCTTGCAATTTAATGGGGTGCCACAACAGGGTTGTGATGTGAACTTCAATCATGTGGGTGTGTCGAATCGACAGACAGAGACAGACAGTCGATGATGCACCAAGACAAGATAACAGTGTGTGGCCAGGGAGAGAAAAAGAGAGACAGAGAGACAGAAAGACAGAGAGAGAGAGAGAGATGAAAGGTGGAAGCAAGCAAGGGTATTCGTTACATTAGTCATGTGTCACATATCACGCACGTCACATGCCACATGTCTCGCTAGATCACTCCTTCTTGTAGCCGGCCTTATCCAGCAAGGACTCCAAGACAGCGAGGGGCATGCCCAGGATGCTGTCCTCGGAACCCTTTCTCTCCCCCAGGTATGGCTGAAGCTTCGGGTGGTCGATCATGAAACCACCGCAGCAGTACATGACATCTCCCTTGCCTCCCTCGATGACCTCATCCATCACTGCCTCTGGGATGGGCTTGAACTGTTGCGATGCAATGTCCACTTGCTGGAAGCGTTCTCCCGTCGCCACGTTTGTCACGACGACAGCCGTCACTGTCGTTGCCGGCACCGTCTCATAGCTGCGAAGGTACTCCTTGCACATCTCGGGCGTTTCTGGCTTTTCCCGGATCGTTCCCTTGTAATGCACAACCTGATCTGTGTGTGCATGTGTGCATGTGTGTGTGTTGTGTGTGTTGTGTTGTGTGTTGTGTGTGTGTGTGTGTGTGTGTGTGTTGTGTGTGTATGCGTGTGTGCATGTGTTGTGTGCGTGTGTGTTGTGTGTGTGTGTGTACATGTTGCGTTAGAAAAGGATGATTCATTGAGAGCAAGCTGATACACCTGTCGACCATGGCGTGTACATCCCACCGCACACACGCACACACGCACACACGCACGTGTACTTGATGATGATGCGTACCGCTGGTGATGAGGAAGCTGTTTGGTGGACACTTTGGGACGAGGGCGTCGGCTTTTGCGTTGGCGATGGCCAGCGTGAGTTTGGAAGGGTCGCTCACACCACGCCCGTCCTCGTCGCCATCCACCGTCACAGCGCGCTCATCGATATCCGCCGCCATGGCCTCAAACGTGTATCCTTGCTCCTCCAGCTGCTGCCGTCGCCACTTGGACGACGAGCCCAGCACAAGCACACTCGCAACAGACATCTTTGTGGTTTGCTTGTTGTGGTTGGTTGGTGGTTGGTGGTGGTGGTGCCGCTCGATTCAAAACACCGTAGACGTGTTCCGCTTTCACTCGCTGGTCGTTCAGTGGCGCGCTCAATTTGTGGTGTTTGTCTCAAAAATGACGATGATTTGTTGGTATCGTTCATAATAATTTGGGCGAAATTGGGACGCACATCAGCTGTTTGTTTTGTGCGGAAAGTCGTGTGCCAAACAAGCAAGACTCGCTCCGTATCCGCTGCTGCGTGTGTGTGTGTTGGTGTGTGGCAGAGAGGCAGAGCGAACAGACCACACTACAACCATCGATCATGAGTGATGGAAGCGGCGCTGGCAGCAGCAGCAGCAGCAGCAGCGCAAGCGGTCATGGTGGCGGTGGCGTGGAAGAGGCCCTGAGAAGGGCGCTGAGATCACCAGCACAACACCACAAGAAGGCAACCACGGCGGCCATGGCGCTGCTACAGAACACACCACAGGTGCGCCCGTGTATGCTGTGCTGGGATGCGTTGTGAAGTGCCATGCTGTGCTGTGCGTGATATCTCGTCTCACTGGTACGTGTACTTGCGCGCTTGCATTCGTCTGGGCGTGCGTGTCCTTGCGCAGAAACCAACGGCAGCATCGAAGACGGAAGGTGGTGGTATGGGTGCGAGGAGCAGAGAGGATGATGGCGCTGCACGCGCCAGGAAGAGGCACCTTGCTTCACGCACCCCGTCCCCAAACCATGAGCACTTGGCCAAGGTAGCGTGAACAGATGTACATATGTGTATGTTTGGGGAGGGGGCTTGCGATTGTGTTGTTTGCATGCGTGTTTGGTTGTGTGCGCAACCGTGTGTGCGTGTGCGTGTGTCAAGTTGGCTGCAGCGAGCACACGTACAGGTGTGCAAGAAGGCACGATGCGCGACCATGCTTCTTTCCCCCCTCATGGCTTCTTATGCGTGCACGCATCGTTCGTGTTGATGCAGGCTGCGTTCCGGCCCGTGATAGAATCGCCGGCCGTTACGCGATCACGCACTACAAAGGACTCACCAGCGGTGAGCGGCATACCACGTCCGCAATGCTATTCATGATTGTCTACACACACCCGCACACGTCCACACACACACACACACACACACGCCCATACACAAACGTCCATACACAAACGTCCATACACACTCACTCACACACACACACACAAACGTACACTTCCTCGCGCATATAAACACACACACACACACCCCCCAGCGACGCTCCACGGGCGTGGAGTATGTGGAGGAGTTGGACATGCAGCCGCGCAAGCTCGAGCTGCCAGCACACGATGAGGTGGACGAAGAGGAGGAAGCAGAACATGTGGAACTGGGTGGGCCTGGCCTGCACACCTTGGCTGCGAGGACGGAGAAAGAGGTACCAGACACAGCTAATGCAGAGGAAGAGCAGCAGGCAGAGACGCAGCAGCAGCGGCGATCAGGACGACGCCGGCAGGGCGTGCAAGCACGCACAGCTGCTGCCCACGCAAGCGTCGTACCTGGCGACATTCAAGCGTCTGTGGTGTCCGCGCTGAAGACAGCACAGCAGCGGTCGCAAGCAACAACATCTTCGCCATCAGCCCTAGCATCGCCACCACCTCCGTCACCATCGTCGTCATCATCGTCATCATCTGTCCTTGCTGGCGCTCAGCCTCGCATTGATCTTTCACAACCTGGTGGCATCGCACTCGCCCTCGCTGACGTG